GCCCACAACAAACAAAGCAAGTAGAGCGACACAGGTCGAACACTCGCAAAGCGAGGAAGCTCTTTCACCCCAGGATATCGTCTCCCGCTGCGTGTGAATGAAATGTTGATGTTGTTGTTGTTGTTGTTGTTGTTGTTGTTGTGGTTGTTGTTGTTGTTGTTGTCGTTGTGGTTGTTGTCGTTGTTGTCGTTGTTGTTGTTGTTGTTGTGGTGTTGTTGTTGTTGTTGTTGGTGGTGGTGGTGGTTGCTATTTGTATTGTGCGGCCAATGCCACCATCTCATACATCTCCGTCGCCATAGACGAGCAGCAAAGGTTTCACGGGGCAGTAGCCATGCATGACTTGATAACACCAGTTTCGTCTTCTGGCTCAACTGGCAGACGAGACTTCGACTGCGTTTCTGCACTCATTGGCAGTCTTGCAGGGTCGCATTGAGAAGATGGATGAAGATGAGTGTTTGCATGAGCATAGCCGGAGGAGCACTGATCGTACTCTTAGTGTACAAAACTGTCGGCAGTTATGGGAGCAGCTGTTCAGATCTGTTCCCTGTCAACTGCGTGTCGTACTAGCACCTGTGAAACATTTTGCAAAATTTTGCTATTTACTGAACTTTCCAGCTACCAACGGCAAACGAAATTAAAATTACGGTCGTCATGTCATGTGGGAGGCAAGCGGTGAGAACAAGACCAGCAGCATGGTGGAGTTTTAATGAAAGATGACAATATGACCGTTTGCAGAAGGGAAGGCCGTGTGCTTGTTGCCTCACGAGATTCAGAACCACGCGATGGAATTGCTTGTCTTGCAGATTTTCGGTCTGTCGATATTCCTTGGGCCCCTGCCCTCAACGAGAGCGAATGGCTGGGATAGTCTGCATTTTCCAAAGCGGTTCCAGGCCGACGATCTTTTGGCAGAGGTCATGCCCGAATCGGACTCGGTAGTGCTAGGTGTGCAGGCAGGGTGAAAGAGCGCTCTCAGTTTGATGGCCGTGGCAGTACTCTGTGGGAGTGCACTGGATTTCGGAAGGTTCTGGAGATATTTTCGACCGCTGCCAGACGCTGGGTTGTTGCAGTCGTGACACATGACATGTTGACCAGCCCATGTGATTCGGTTTTCTGACTTGAGGTTGTTCCCGCAGCCCCTGTGGTCCCTGTGGAAGTCGATCGTGAGGAGGATTCACCGCTGCCTTCCATGCGCGATGCTCTTCCTGCGATTGCTGTAGTGCGGTCACAGGCGAAGCCTGCGAGGCCAGGCACCGCCCCGCAGTCGGCGACCTACCGTCTTCCGAAGTCGAAACGAGACTTGATGTAGAAGCACTCCTAAAGATCTCCAAACCCATCCCAGCACTTTTTTGTGCGAGGCGTCATGTTGAGAGTCCTCGGAGACCCTCGAATGCCAGCCAGGCACGGCTGAATCCCTGCTCTGCCTCATGATGCTCTTTTCCCACTGTGGGCTTCGAGCCTGTCGAAGTGACTCGCAGCATTTCTTCTTTGATGGGACCATTGTGTATTGGATGCCCGGTGTCGGGTATGTGTGCATAATGGCCTCGAGAGCCAAGAGTTCTCAACAGTTTGAGCACGTTGAATCTCTTCGTTTCAAGGCCGAACTCTTGCCTGTACGTCCAAACCATGCCAAGATGCAAGTAAAACGAGTCATGGGTGTGATAGGACGCACAATGCAGATGTGTTGCATGCATGCACGAGTGGAGAGGGGCAAGTACGCTTATGAAGAAGAGCTCCTCAACGTGAGCCATTGAGAAATTTGCTGTTTTTTCAGTTTCCGTGCTGGCACCGGCTTTGCCTCTCGACCGGCTCTTGAGAGCACAGCCCACTTCTGCCGATTTGCGCTCTGCTGCGTGGGCTGCTCTTGCTGGTGGTGCTAGGGGTGGTGGCGGTGGTGGTGGTGGTGGTGCTGCTGCTGCCGAAGAAGTTTTCATTGTAATTCTTTTGGTAGTTTTCAGCAGAACTTAGACAAGCAAGCTTGGTTCTGCTGACCCCTTGCAGGATTCTGTCGTAACGACCGTGGAAACAACGCAATCTAAGATACCTTTGCAGTCAGCATCAGTCAGCATCTTTTTGCTACCATGCCGGAATCTAGAATACGGTGATTACACGTCTGTTCATCTACTGAATCTACTGATCATGTGTCCACCCACCCATTGGTCCATCCCGAGTTTGATTTTCTATCGGCCGGTCATGCACCTCGTCGTCTGCTCAAAGGTTATCGTTTGTCCATCCATCCATCCGCCAGTCTGTCCATCCGTCAGTCTGTCCATCCGTCCGTTTGTCCGTCCTTCGATCGATCTGTGCGAACATCCTAACACGCACTGACCGGCAACGGGTTATGTGAATGTGTGCCAGTACCATGATCGGATCATGAACGAGGTCGCACGCAACAGCTGTCATCAATCGGTCCAGACTGCTTGCCAGAAGACTCATTTCGAACTATCGTCAGGGCAGTCGGGCGCATGCAAGTTCTATAGTCTATAGGGTGAAGCAGGTGCCACCTCCCACCATCAGCAGCATCAAGGATGCACCTGTTGCCCGATCGCAGCCGCAGCTTCCAAAGCCTGCGTGTCGCCCAGAGAGCTTGCAAGAAATTCGGGGTTTACCTGGGTTCCTGCTTGCCTTGCTCGATGGATTGAGGCGTATGCCTTTGCCGCCGGTACTGCTTCCGCTGCTGCTGCAGCTGCAGCTTTCGCATGCCTCCCAGTTACAGCAAGATGACACTGCCATCGCCTCCAGAATTGTTTTGCTGAATACTGGAATCTCCGAGGTGGTGAAGAGTGGCAACTTGCCACCTGCTGTGGCTGCCAGCCGAGGGCTTCACAGGTTTGCTTGCATGCTTCGCAGGGCCTTGCGTTGCGTAGAAGCGGTCAAGATGCAGCCTGTGAAGCTCGGAGTAGACTGATGACCTTGATGTCGCGCCTTCAGCATGGCCAGGCAGCGTAGCTTCGGTGCCCTCCGCGCAAACAAAGTGCTGTGAGACGCTCTGCGTCAGTGGAGCTCTGTAGTCAGGTGGACGACCGATTTGAAAGAGCGCCAAAGACCAACTTAGTAACAATCGGGAACTTGACCAGGAGAATACTGTACGTGTTTCGCACGGAGACAGCCTCTTCCGCGCTGCCGCTTGCTATCGCTTGCTTTCATTTGCGCCCCAATTTGCGCTGCTGTACCGTGGACGATGACAACTCACGGCCTTGGACAGCTTCTGCACATAGTGCACGATAATGCCTGGTCTCTGTGAGCCGAGGGTGCTGGAAGAGACTGACCCTCCAAATTTCTCTTGTTTCATGCCCCCAGGCCCCGGGTCACACGATGCCATGATCCCGCCTGCAAAACGCAGGAAAGCCACAAGTGCCTGGTCGTTATGGTCTCAAAGCCGCAAGCACCTGATTCCCCGAAGGGCGTCCAGGTCCTGCAATGGCACCTGTGGTGACTTTGGGAGGAAAGGAGATTCACCGAGAAGTGTTTGCAACCTGATCCTGTTGTGCTGGGCCCTGCCGGAAAGAGTGACTCTTCTGGCTCAACTCAGGCTCTGAATTAGGCTGCAGTAGGCTGCCATGGTCAGAGCGAGCCAGCAGGCCGCAGTATGCCGCAGTGTGCAAGTTCCTCTGTGCCGGGTTGTGGGTCTTAGCTTGGTCGTAGGCAGCCGTCTTCTGGCTCCACGGGACGTACCCAGGCCATGCCACTCCTGATTTGAGTGGTTTGTATATGTTGGTAGTCTGAGGAGCATTTCCGACTGCCCCTATGGATTCCGGCAGGTGGCGTCGGGGTAACTGGATGATCCGTGGACTGAAGAGCAAGTCAGATGCTTGGTGTGACCGTAGTGGAATCGGCGCCCTGCATTGATGGATGTTGATAGAGCGTCTATGAGTAATTTGAGTGCTCGAAAGGTTTGCCAAGTCAAACAGCAGCACCAACGTCGCGGCGGGGAGTGGGGCGCAAGGAGCGTCTGTCATCAATACATCGAAGGCCTGTGTGGCTTGATGCAACCAGCGTAGCCAGTTGGTGGGTCCGGGCTTGTGTCGATTCGGATCTGCAGGTCGGAAGCGACCCAGACACAGCTGCTGTGCCGGACGAGGGCGAAGCTGTCGAGCCGAAAAGGAAACTTGCGGAACTTGCGCTCGCACGGATCAATGTACAAAATCCGCGCCAGAGAGGACCGGTTCATCCTCCTCAAAGGCGATAGTGGCCTCAGCCCGAGACTGCATGTCTATGCGAATTGCAAGGCCTTCCGTGCTGACTGCAAGGCAGCTCAAGATCCTGCAGGGAACGGTTGGGCATATGAGGCTGATTTCTGTTGCATGGATGTTGGGGTTGGGCCAAAGGCCAGCCCCCGCCCTTTCGACCAGGATGTGTGGAGCTATGTTGACTCCATGGGAGTGACCAAAGTTCCTGGAGAGGAGACACCTTCTGTCATTGCTTCAGCAGCAAGAATATGGTGCAGAAAATGCATCAGATGACATTCGTGTGCAAATAGTTTGCTAATAGTCTGCTATTCAACTCAGTACATGACTGCGTGCACACATGTATGTATGTATGTATGTATGTATGTATGTATGTATGTATGTATGTATGTATGTATATATATATATGTATATATCATATAATATATATTCACATACATGCGTACACATGTACATGTGCATGTATCCACATCCAGCCGCCCGTCCGTCCGTGCATCCGTCCATCCATCCAATCCATCAGACATCATCAGACATCATCAGGCCATCCATTCATCCATCCATCCGCCCATCCATCTAGAGGGAAGGAGATTATGCCATGGTATGCTGGGCTTTGCATGAAGCACTTGTCGAATTAGTGGAGGTTTTGTCGTTCTATACCCTGAGATCTTGTGCTCGTGCTCTGTGACTCTCCGTGACTCTCTGGCTAATCCAGGGTTCTACAGGCGGAGCCTGGATGCACCAAGTATCCCCAAGCCGAAGCCCGAAGGCATCCGAAGGCAACGGTGCCTGCCCGAAAAGACGGCACGTGTTTTCCATCTCCGCGGGTATGTAAGGGTACGTGAGATGTGTATGTGGTACGGTGACAAATACCCCTCCTCGTCTCCCTACAATGATGTGATATGCCCGCTCTTGGGTGGATGGGTTTACCTTTCTCCCTGCGACACAGATGGTTCTGATACCATCCGCATCTCTGTGTCGATTTTGGTACTTTGTTCTTCAGCGGTTCTGGTGCCCCTGTGGGTGTGGCTGTGGGTGGGTTTGGTGTGTTGTTGATCCTTCGCCTTATGTGGATGTTTTACGCGATTCCCGTGACTGTTAGCATTGTTTAGACCTCGCATTTACATCATGATCTTAAAGCGACAACAATTGCAAGGATGCCGGGTCATCAAATGCCTGCCGCTGTGGATACTGATGAGGTGGCATCACTGGGTGGGCAAGTGGGTGGGTGGGTGCCATACATGTGTATGTACATATATATATATATATGTACATATATATGTGTGCATAACAGGCTATGTATATGGAAGTAGATGCATACACTAAGGTATGTATGTATGCATGCGCGCATGCATGCATGCATGCATGTATGTATGTATGTATGTATGTATGTATGCATGTACGTATGTATATGTGCACACTTGTTGGTGGGGAGGTATAGACGTCTGTATGTCCGTAGGGCCGCCTGCCCTTACTGGAGTGTGTCAGCATGTCTGTATGTCTGCATGTCTGGGTCTGCGTCTGTATGGAAAGGAGGAAGGTAGGAAGGTAGTAGGGCAGGAAGGAACCAACGTAGGTAGGTAGGTAGGTATACATACATACGTACACAATGGTGTTGTATCTTGAAATTTGCAAGAGTATCCTGTCACTATCAGCACCTGGTCATCGGGCATGCCAACATCGGCCTTTTCGCAAATAGCGCACACACCGAGTGGCTTGTGAGGAGCACATCCTTCGCTTCCTCGCAGACTGCCTTCACGTCTCTCCGCTTCCAGCTCCGTGGGACACGTCCTTACAGCCATGAAGAGGTCAGTGCAGTCTTCTCACTCAAGTACTACTACTACTACGACGACGACTACGACTACTAGTACTACTACTACGACTACGACTACGACTACGACTACGACTACGACTACGACTACGACTAGGACTACGACTACGACTACGACTACGACTACGACTACGACTACGACTACGACTACGACGACGATGACGACGACGACTACTACTACTACTACTTGCTACTTGCTACCTACTACTTACCAC